GAGCTTCATGGCCAGATTCTCGGAGCTGCAGGTGACGGAGCGGGAGGCGGGAATGGAGGCTGTGGCGTCCTCACCTCCCCAAGTCAGTCTTTACCTGGGACCTGACGCAGTGGAAGGAGTGTGTCCGTCCCTCCCGCCACCCAGCCACCCAGCAGGCCACGTTGCCAGGCCCAGTCAATCCGATGGAGACCGGAAGCACGGCTCCCTGGTCTAGATGTGCCCTTAGACGAGGTGACTGCAGCCCGTGGGGCCAGCCACTTCCTGGCCACCAGCAGGTTGGAATGCAGGTCTCCTGCCGAGCCCGCCTATCAGGCCGCACTGCCTCCGTGGCGCCTTCCAAATGAGCTTGAGGTTGGGCCCACGCGCAGGTGCCTGGCGGCCTGACGGGCTCTGCTGGTTGCAGTGGAGGATGCTGACGGTGAGGAGCGACGACTCGGAGCACAAGTACAGCTCCACGCCGCTGGACTGGGTCACCCTGGACACCAACATCGCCTACTGGCTGCACCCCAGGACCTCTGTAAGCAGCGCTGGGCCGTGGCCTTAATCCCCTCTGCCTCCCGCGAGGGGCGAGGACGCCTGTGCGGTGGAAGGAAGCAGCCCTCTGCTCTTGTGGCCGCGCTGCGCCTCCCCTGCTGTCCGTGCGCGGCCCCTGCGCTCAGCAGGCAGAGCTGCCTTCAGGCACCTGTTGGTGCTTCCCCCAGGGAAGGCGGCAGAGCCTGCTCAGCCATGGCTCCTGCGACACGGGAGCTAACGCTGCTCATGTCCTCCCGGCCCAGAGCCCTCCCGGCCCAGAGCGCGCTGAGCGGTCACTCGCAGAGCAGGGCCCCGGGCACACCCTTAGCTCTGCGCTGCCCTGAGTCCCTCTGGGAGCAGCCTGCTGTTGAAGACAATCGCGGCCCCTGATTGTAGGAAACCCCGCACGTCCCAGCGAGGGCCTCGTCAGGAACAGGCCCCGTGGAGGCTGCGCTGATGGCATCTCCGTCCTTGTAGGCTCAGATCCACTTGCTGGGGAACGTGGTGATCTGGGCTTCCGCCGGCCTCGCCACTGCGCTGTACGCCCTGCTCTTCTGCTGGTACCTGCTCCGCCGCCGGAGGCGTGTCTGTGAGCTCCCCGAGGGTGCGTGCACGCTCCCCCCGTTTCTCCTCCTACTTCTGACCAGAGCTCAGCTCACCAGGAAGCTCTGCCTTTAGGTGGCATCTTTGTTTCTGCATCCAGGGGTGTAAATTATTTTTGTCTCTCCAGAGACAAAATGTTGCAGTTTAGCCCCCATGTGACCTTCAGGGCTTCTCCAGGGAGGTGCAGGCACTGGGCAGGGAGGTGCGGGCACTGGGCAGGGAGTGCGGGCACTGGGCAGGGGTGGCTGGTGAGCCCAGGGCGGAGCCGCCATGTGTACCCAGTGGAGGGTCTGATGTTTGCTAGTAACAGAAACCCACTTAGCACCATCTCCAAACAGAAAAGGAATGAGCCCCAGGACAGGCAGGGCCCCGAGGCACCTCCTACTGTGGGGCTCCAGGAACTGGTCCATCCTCCCCACTAGACAGGCAGCCCCTCAGCTTCCCAAAGTCGTACCGACCAGATAATCCTGAGACACAGGACCTTGAGGAGCAGCAGAGCTGGGCCTCCCGCAAGGGCTGGTATTAGAGGGACCGTGAGGCCCCAGCGGGCGCTGCAGGGGGTTCTGAGGACCAGTCTGTTCTTCCTCCAGCGAGGGGGGGCGTGGAGAGCCGAGCCTGCGGTGACTTAGGGTCAGCCTGGCCTGCGCCCTCCTCTCCAGATTCCTGGCTGCGCTGGGTGCTGGCCGGGGCCCTGTGTGCCGGCGGCTGGGCGGCAAACTACTTCCCGTTCTTCCTGATGGAGAAGCAGCTCTTCCTCTACCCCTACCTGCCCGCACTCACCTTCCAGATCCTTCTACTGCCCGTGGTCTTGCAGCACATCGGCGAGCACCTGTGCAGGTCTGGGCCATCACAGTGTGAGGGGCAGACTGGGGCCCTGGGGTCGAGGACGAGCCTGCACAGCTGTTGGGTGGGAAGTGGGAAGTGGGTCTGTGGTCCAGACCAGGAGGAAGGCGAGCCAGGGGAACCTGAGGGTGGGAGGGTTCTCGGGCGGCCATATTGGCCCGTTGGCAGGCGCAGAGGCAGACCGGGAAGCTGTGTAACCTGGGGCGGGCTGGGAGCCTGGAAGCCTCGAACGGGGAGAGGGGGGGAGGGGAGCTGTGATGCGTGGGGTTCGCGTTCAGGTGGAGCAGCGGCTTGGAGACCCGAGCAGTAGGCCAGCGAGGAAGGTCACG